CCAAGGATTACCAACCATACAGCCATGGACTCCGTTTTGTCCTTCTGGACTCCAGATTCCTGGTCGAAGGATGTATGTATGACACACAACTGATTAGACACCGACTACTCGAAGGGTTATGGATCCAAAGCACCGATCGATTGTCTTGTGAATTTGACTGCTTTACGAATACTCACCGTGAAGTCTCGCAGTTATCTGCACAAATCCCGGGTTGGTCGAGAATTACTGTTGTGTTAGGTACAGGCTGACAATTGACACGAGCGACTCTTGCTTAGACACCGACGACAATGCGGAAATAGGACAGGATCGGAGACAACGGTCAGCGTGTATTCCATAGTACGCAAATAATAGGGTAAATCACGCATACGAGAACGGCGCAGTGACGCACCAGTCAGATTGCGTCCTTGACATTTGAATGGTTGATCGGAAGACCGCTATCTGACTCGTTCTGCATTCATTCAGTCCGGACTCAGCTTGTCGGGAGCGTGCTTGTGGCCTGACGCGGAGGCGTACGCGACCTGTCGAGTTGTTTACACTTCGTCCTAACAATTGTAGTAGTTCACAAGACTGAGTTCATCATGAGAGCGAACGCGGACTTTGCTCAACCGTCTCATGTTTTTTCCCATTCGAACATTGCCTAGAAGACAAGTCGTTCGTGGTGAACGTAAGTGTTCCAACTGAGTCGTCCGTATCACTTAACACTTTCACTGGTACCACGAGGGTTTATGAATTACCGCGGCACTATTTTGCCACGCCTCTGTTGTACAGTCCTTCTTCTCGCTAACATTCTTTTTTGTCTTCCAGAGAAATCGTTTTGCTCCTACAACTGTTTTTTTTAATAATACCTTAGTGTGATGAACAGCAAGCGGGGAAAGCCTCGTAGTCACGAGGATCTGCTGTTCAGTGATGGAAACCGGCAACCTAAGCCCCGAGAATGGGAGTGGTGAACCTCAGAAGGCCCCGCTATGTTTGGCTTGGTGTTGAACCGAACAACAGCTGTGTCTAAGACAGTTTGGGGGCAAAATTCTACCTGCCCTCAACCCCATCCTCTTACCCGTTAACCCTGTCCATGAATGCAGAATTAGTCCAATCCATACTCACAAACTTGTTTCCGAACTCCATTCAATTAGTTTCTCAGTCGGGGCCCTCCGCCATGCGTAGTTAGCTCACAGTGCGATGTATCCAGCTAGTCGATGAAATCCTGAAAATAAACTTTAAAATGTTTGTACTCTTGGTTCATTTCTGTCAATTTTCCTCTCCCTCCCCTCCACGGGGGCTTTTCAGATCACTTCAGGGGAATATATTCAAATGTCCGGTCGAGCTGGGCGACGAGGTAAGGACGACAGTGGGACGGTAATACTGATGGTCGATGAAACAATGAACGGGGACGCGGCGAAGCAGATCATGATGGGCCCTCCACCACCACTGAACTCGGCATTCCATATCACAAACAATATGCTACTCAATTTGCTCCGTGTGGAAGAAATAAATCCGGAATACATGATGGAGCGCAGCTTTTGTCAGTTTCAGAACTATGCCAGTCTCCCCAGCATGTACCAGGGTGAGTCATGCACCACGCGTCCACTTGATGTATGCGGTTTCGATTCGTGTTTCAGCCCGTGTGCTTTGTTTGCATCAGTTTATCTGCTCAGTTCCCGGCTCACAGTGGTATCTAAGTAAAAGACATTCAAATCGATTGCTTTTGTACACATGTACGAACCTTGAGAAAGGCGCACGAGGAAATAGAGTTCATTAAAAAAAAAATAGAATGCTGAGCACTGTACGCTACAGGTGAAACAGGAATACTACAGAATCCCAGTGAGCTACTTGACCAAGTGAAGAGTATTAGGGTTGGGTGGATGCTTCGATGTTCACCCAAATATTTCCTTCACCTCTCAGTATACTATATTCATTTGGCTCCATACCGGAACATTCTACTCTAGCCGAACCCAACTATAGTTTACGTTTACCTCTGCGTAAACGGATAACGAAGGTCAAAAAGGTGCGTGGGTAAATGATGTAGAATGATTGTAGCTCGGAGGATGGTCCCGTTGCAAAACCCGATGTGACTGCCCTTCGTGGATGTTCTTAGTTCTTATTGGAGGATGCGCAACTGCCCCTAGAGATTTTCTGGACTTATTCGCCTTCCAAAGTAACATGATCACTTATCAGTCAGCTATCCTGGCTTGGGGTGATGGTTTATGCATTTCTGTAACCCAATGATTCACATAGATTGGCTTTCATCAAGAAGAATCAGACAAAGTTCAATCTCCAGTTTAGTGGGTCGTCTCGAGTTGGTTCCTCAATCAGTAGAAAAACGGATGGATAATCAATCCAAGTTGATGTATCTCCAATGCTCCTCTTCCGCGTCCCGCTGTCTTATTCTTTTTAACGCTAAAGGCTTTGTCTGAGAATCCTGATTGCCCTTTTTTTATTACACACCTAAGTGTAACGAACAGAGGACGGGGCAAAGCCCATAGTCGGTGGCGGAAACCGGCAACCTAATCCCTGGGACCTGGGATGGCGAACCACATAAGGCACCGATAGGTCAGGCTTGGTATTGACCCGGACGATAGCAGAGCTGCCTACCTGTCGGGTGGCGGTGGCGGGACTCGAACCTCGGTCCATAGGGTCCAACGCGCGGCGGTGACAGCGACTAAACCACTGCGCCATCACTACTCATAACGGTTTCACTCCAAGGTGCTTACCATCCGCCAAGTTCCAGCGAGTACAGCGTGACTCACTGTATTTCCCTGCGCATTGATACTGACTTGAACAATTCAGAGTCATAACTGATGAGTGAGTAGAATGTCATTAGATAGATGGATGACCTCTGCAGGTATAGTTTAGCAACTAGGTTGTCTGCCCTGTCTTGGAAGCGCTGAACAAATCAACAAGCAATACCCCCTCCGGGGTAAAAATAACATTGAAAAAAGAGATTTATATCCCCAAACTGTTAACAAAGTCTGTGAAAACCTGTTCTTTGTTCTCGCGTCTCTGTCATCCGAATAGCATTGCATTGCTAACGATGGACATTTAGAGCAATGGGTGCAAACTGAAGACGGATGATCTTCACAATGTTCACAATGTGCCTAAGAAGACATAGACTTGATTAAGCACGTCGTCCAACCCCCGGATGTTGTTTGATTCAATCGTGTGTGTGAAAATCTCTTGTCACGTCAACCTAGGATTTGCTGTTAAACGCGATTGACGCATTGCTGCTGTATTCCGGTTAGTTCCTGTTCGAAGCACCGCGCGCGCGAGAGAGAGAGCGGGAGATGATGAACCAACCCCTGAAGGCATATGCGACTTAGCTCCTAGTGACATCTCGCGGGTTTACCGATAGCCTTTGAATAGCTGTCTATGTATGAACCGTAAGGTTAGCGGCGTGCATGGTTGCTCCGTTAATGGCTCGTTCGCAGTTACAGTGAGGTGTATTTGGCCCCTGAGAGCACGCACACATGCATCTGTAATTTGAACAGATTGAACGTTATATCGAATTATGTCCCTGTACCCAATCGTAGCGTGCAGTACGCCTTCTCGTCGAGGTTGTTAGACCTTGGTTGTGTTCTCCCCCGTTTAACCCACTTGTGAAATGCTATTTCCGAATGTGGCCGCCGGTGCATTTCTCGAATCGACAGGTAAGAGTTGGTAGATAATAAAGAGGTTGAGTATGTCCAAAGGGACACGACAGTGTACGAACTCAGCGATGATATCATTCCTTCCTACCAAATAACCTTTATGTCACGGTCTGGTTGGCCTCTTCACCGCAGTTAACTAAAACGTTAATCATTGAATTTCATCTTCGTTTTGTGTGACAGTTCCACAATTATTTTCTCTGTTAAAAATTTCATGGTAGTATTAGTAGTAGTAGTGGTAGTAGTAGCGGCAGCATCAATAATAATGCGGTAACTTTCGTGGTTCCTTGAAATTCACTGGATAACTGCATTCGAATCGTAGTAGTGGTGATCGTGGTGCTGACGGTCGAGTTGGCATTGATCCGATGAGTTCACCAGTATCACATCTCTGGTGTTTTTATTCATTCACCATGACCAGACCGGCAAACAGAAGAACCACCAGCTTGGGCGCTGGATTGGTAACATCCGCACCAGCAGTCTATGCAATAGATAAACGGATGCCAGAAACAGACTTGTGCCATCTATTGACCCCCCCACACACACACACACATACACTCCAAAAAAAGAAAACAGTGCCCACGTAACCGTACCTTCACTTTCTCGCAATTGTGATATGCTACCATCTTCGTGGGGAGTAGTAGTGTCGCAGTAGTTTAGTCACTTTTAACAGCGTACTTTAGACTCTATGATCTGAGGTTCAAGCCCTGTCACCATCATAACCATCCAACTTTGATCGTAGGCAGATTCTCTGTCGTCCGCGAAA